GGCGTGCTAAGATCTCCGGTAACTGCTCAACAATGTTTCTAGTTCGCGCGCGCGGGGCGGGCCCTGGGGGTGCCGGGACGAAAAGTACCCCGGCAAGGTCCCGGCAAGGTCCCGGCAAGGTCCCGGCAGACTCCCGCCAAGGTTCCGGCAGACTCCCGGCAGACTCCCGGCAAGGTCCCTTTTCGGAGCCCAGGAGGGCTCCAAACGGTCCAAGAGAGGCCCGAGAAGCCCTCCAGACGGTCCAAGAGAGCCGGGAGACGCCGAAATATCACTCCCAAACGCCTGCGATGGCCTCAAGACGGCCCAACAGGCCTTCAAGACGCCCCAAGAGGTCCCTAAGCGGCGCCCCAAGAGGGCTCCCACTAGCAAAAATCGTCCCATACGCGCTTATTTTAACATATCCGCCTCTTCGTCTTTCACACCTTTCAAGGCGGTCCAAGAGGCCCCAAAGATCACCCCAAGACGGCCCGAGAGACCCTCTAGACCGCTCAAAGACGGCCCAAGAGCGCTCCAAGAAGGCCCAAGAAACCCTCAAGAACTCTTTTTCGGAGCCCAGGAGGGCTCCAAATCGGTCCAAGAGGGGCCCGAGAAGCCCTCCAGACGGTCCAAGAGAGCCGGGAGACGCCGAAATATCACTCCCAAACGCCTACGATGGCCTCAAGACGGCCCAACAGGCCTTCAAGACGCCCCAAGAGGTCCCTAAGAGGTCCCTAAGCGGCGTCCCAAGAGGGCTCCCACTAGCAAAAATCGTCCCATTCCCTTAGGAAAACGTGCATTTTTAACATATCCGCCTCTTCGTCTTTCACACCTTTCAAGGCGGTCCAAGAGGCCCCCAAGATCACCCCAAGACGGCCCGAGAGACCCTCTAGACCGCTCAAAGACGGCCCAAGAGCGCTCCAAGAAGGCCCAAGAAACCCTCAAGAACTCTTTTTCGGAGCCCAGGAGGGCTCCAAATCGGTCCAAGAGGGGCCCGAGAAGCCCTCCAGACGGTCCAAGAGAGCCGGGAGACGCCGAAATATCACCCCCAAGCGCCTACGATGGCCTCAAGACGGCCCAACAGGCCTTCAAGACGCCCCAAGAGGTCCCTAAGCGGCGTCCCAAGAGGGCAAGCAAAAATCGTCTCATTCCCTTAGGAAAACGCGCTTTTTTAACATATCCGCCTCTTCGTCTTTCACACCTTTCAAGGCGGTCCAAGAGGCCCCCAAGATCACCCCAAGACGGCCCGAGAGACCCTCAAGACCGCTCAAAGACGGCCCAAGAGCGCTCCAAGAAGGCCCAAGAAACCCTCAAGACGGTCCAAGAGGCCCCAAGACGGCCCCATGATTGAGGTCCACAGGGGCAACCTGAACGGAAATTTTGAGCCTCCCGCCCAAACACGCCCCCGAAATGCCCCTACAAGCCCCCAAGTAGCCCCACGAAGCCCCCAAGAGAGCCCCAAGAGGCCCCCAACAGGCCGCAAGAAAGCCCCAAGAGGCCCCCAAGAGACCCCCAGGAAGCTCCCAGGAGGCCCCCAAGAGGCCAGGCAGACCCCCCCAAGAGACCACCAAGAGGGCCCACCCAGAGCCATCCACGAGGCCTCCCAAAGTTCCCAAGAAGCTCCCACGAAGCTTCCAAGGGCTCCCAAGACCCCCCAAGACCCCGCGATGGCACAATACGGGCCGGCGGAATGAGCGAAGCGATTCAATAATAGTAGTAGCAACAGCAGTAGTAGCAGCAGTAGTAGTAGCCTCGCATTAACATTAGCAGTAGCAGTAATAGTAGTAGCAATCGTAATCGCAATAATAGTAGCAATGAAATAGTAATAGTCATGATAACAGTCGTCGTAGTAGTAGTAGTAGTAGTAGTAGTAGTAGTAGTAGTAGTAGTAGTAGTAGTAGTAGTAGTAGTAGTAGTAGTAGTAGTAGTAGTAGTAGTAGTAGTAGTAGTTGCAGTAGTGGTAGTAGTAGTAGTAGTAGTAGTAGTAGTAGCAGCAGTAGTAGTGGTAGTGGTAGTAGTAGTACCCGTCTTGTTACTAATGCTCTAAAGAATTCCATTTCTATTGCTACTCGCAGTGTTCTTCTTGTCATTCGCACTGGGCGTGGAACGCCGCCGCGACTTCCTGCTAGTCGAGCGGCCCGGCCCCGGATAAGCCGGGCGGGCCCTGACGCGCGCTGTCTGGGAGCAGTCCCTACACGAGCGGGTCGGGCGGCTGGGCCCCCACGGGGCAAGTCGGCCGGGGCGGGCGGGCGGGCGGGTCGGTCGGGCGGGGAGCGAGAGCGCCGGGCCCCTTCGGTGGCGTTCAGCCGTGGCGACGTGAGCCCCCAGAAGCACCAACTATCTCTCTCAATCTCTCTCTCTCTCTCTTTCTCTCTCTCTCTCTCTCTTTCTTTTTCTCTCTCTCTCTCTCTCTCTCTCTTTCTTTTTTGTTTTCTCTCTCTCTCTCTCTCTCTCTCTCTATATATATATATAAGAATGTATATATAAATGTACACACATGTATAAATATAAAGAGACGCATTAATGTGCGTCTAGATGCCGAACTATACATACGCACATATTTATATATATATGTATACATACATGCATACATACATACACATCTCTGTGTATATATATATATATATCAACATATATGTGTGATGACGCATGTATGGGTGCCTAGCTCTCGAACTGACAATACATATACATATAACTATATGTATATAGCTGCACAAATATTTGCATGTCCCTGTCTACCTTTTTTTCTCTCTCTCTCTCTCTCTCTCTCTCTCTACCTCTCACACAACACGAGGCCTCTGCCACGAACTCGTGCGAGCTGTCTGCGAAGAGCCAATGGGCCTCCAGGACCGGGAGAACCTCCACTCCGAGGGCGCGGAAGACCAAAACGCGCGGGACTGCTGGAAAGGAAACTGCTGAGAGGAGGAAGAAGGAATGAGGAGAAGGAATGACTCGAACAACCCGTGACCCATGTGGCCCGCCCCAGAAAACCTGGGACGAATAAAAAACAACGCGAAAGGAACTGTTGCTTCCGCAAGCGGTCTTGCGCCAGAGAAGAGAAGCCCCTGTCGACCCTTCTAATGGCGAGGCCCTCTACGAAGCGATCTCCGTAACCTGAGATCGCACGTGACGACCAAAAAATATGGGGGGGGGAATAAAAAATCCTGGCGAAGGAACCCAACCATACGCAGCTGTGAATACCGCGATTGTGAATATCTTCTTCGGTGGAGCTCCCTATGGGGCCACGAAACGCTGCATTGAGCGGGGGGTGACGCATGCGGGCGGTAGCACTGGGGCCTTCGGTGGAACTCCCTGTGGGGCCACGAAACGTTGTACTGGGTGGAGGGGACGCATGCGGGCGGTAGCACTCGGGCCTTCGGTGGACCTACTGTGGCGCCACGAAGCGCTGCACTGGGAGGGGGGGACGCATGCGGGCGGTGGCACTGGGGCATTCGGTAGAGGTCCCTATGGGGCCACGAAACGTGTGAGGGGTGTGCCGAATTGTGTGTGGGGGGGGGGGGGGGGCGCATGCGGGCGGTGGCACTGGGGCCTTCGGTGGAGCCCCACATGGGGCCACGAAACGTGTGAGGATGTGCCGACATGGGTGTGGGGGACGCATGCGGGCGGTGGCACTGGGGCCTTTTGGTGGGACCCCCTATGAGGCCACGAAACGCGTAAGCGGTGTGCCGAACTGGGTGTGGGGGACGCATGCGGGCGGTGGCACAAGAGCCTTCGGTGGAACCCCCTATGGGGCCACGAAATGCTGTACTGGGTGGGTGACACGCAGGGAGCAAGGGCCGTGTTGGGTGGTGGCAGACGCATGCGGGCGGTGCCACTGTGACTCTCCGTGGAGTTCCCTATGGGGCCACAAAATGCTGTACTGGGTGGGTGAAACGCAGGGAGCAAAGGCTGTGCTGGTTGGTGGCGGACGCATGCGGGCGGTGCCAGTGGGACCTCCCCTGAGGCCCCCTCATGGGGCCACGAAACGCTGTACTGGCTGGGTGAAACGCAAGGATCAAGGGCTGTGCTGGGTGGTGGCGGACGCATGCGGGCGGTGCCACTGGGGGTTCCGGCAGAGCCAGCCCCCTTATGGAGCCACGAAACGCAGTACTTGGTGGGTGACACGCAGGGAGCAAGGGCTGTGCTGGGTGGTGGCGGACGCATGCGGGCGGTGCCACTGGGACCTCCCCTGGAACTCCCTGTGGGGCCACGAAACGCTTAGTGGGTGGGCGAAACGCAGGGAACAAAGGCTGTGCTGGGTGGTGGCGGACGCATGCGGGCGGTGCCACTGGGACCTGCGGTGGAGCCCCCGTATGGGACCACGAAACGCTGTACTGGGTGGGTGAAACGCAGGGAGCAACGGCCGTGTTGGGTGGTGGCGGACGCATGCGGGCGGTGCCACTGGGACCTTCGGTGGAGCTCCCTATGGGGCCACGAAACGCTGTACTGGGTGGGTGAAACGCAGGGAGCAAAGGCTGTGCTGGGTGGTGGCGGACGCATGCGGGCGGTCCCACTGGGGGCTTCGCTGGAGCCCATATGGGGTCACGAAACTATGTACTGGGTGGGTGAAACGCAGGAAGCAAACGCTGTGTTGGGTGGTGGCGGACGCATGCGGGCGGCGCCACTGGGACCCTCAGTGGAACTCCTTATGGGACCACGAAACGCTGTACTGGGTGGGCGAAACGCAGGGAGCAAGGGTTGTACTGGGTGGTGGCGGACGCATGCGGGCGGTGCCACTGGGACATTCGGTGGAACCCCCTTATGGAGCCACGAAACGCTGCACTGGGTGGGTGACACGCAAGGAGCAAGGGCTGTACTGGGTGGTGGCGGACGCATGCGGGCGGTGCCACTGGAACCTTCGGTGGGATTCCATATGGGGCCACGAAACGCTGTACCGGGTGGGTGAAACGCAGGGAGCAACGGCCGTGTTGGGTGGTGGCGGACGCATGCGGGCGGTGCCATTGAGACCCTCGGAAGAACCCCTTTTTATGGGGCCACGAAACGCTGTACTGGGTGGGCGAAACGCAGGGAGCAAACACCGTGTTGGGTGGTGGCGGACGCATGCGGGCGGTGCCACTGGGACCTTCGGTGGAGCCCCCTTATGGGACCACGAAACGCTGCACTGGGTCGGTGAAACGCAGGGAGCAAGGGCTGTGGTCTGTGGTGGCGGACGCATGCGGGCGGTGCCACTGGGGGTTTCGGTGGAGCCCCCTTTTATGGGGCCACGAAAAGCTGTGCTGGGTGGGTGAAAAGCATGGAAGAGGGAGGAGGAAAGGGAGGAGGGGGAGGAGGAGGAGAGGAGAGGAGGAACGAAACGCGGGGACCGTCTCTTCAAAACGAGGACCCAACACCACAGGACAATTGGGACAACAAATTAGCCAGGCGAACAACCCAACCATATGCTGGTGTGACTACCGCATTGTTAATATGTTCTTCGGTGGAGCCCCCTAATGGGGCCACGAAGCGCTGTAGTGGGTGGGTGAAACGCAAGGAGCAAGGGCTGTGCTGGTTGGTGGCGGACGCACGCTGGCGGTGCCACTGGGATTTTCGGTGGAGCTCCCTATGGGGCCACGAAACGCTGTACCGGGTGAGTGACAGAAAAACAAACGCTGTTGGCGGACGCATGCGGGCGGTGCCATTGGGACCTTCGGTGGAACTCTCTTTTATGGGGCGACGTAACGCTGTACTGGGTGGGTGAAACGCAGGGAGCAAGGGCCGTTTTGGGTGGTGGCGGACTCACGCGGGCGGTGCCACTGGGACTTTCGGTGGTGCCCCCAATGAGGCCACGAAACGCTGTACTGGGTGGGTGAAACGCAAGGAACAAGGGCTGTACTGGGTGGTGGCGGACGCTTGCGGGCGGTGCCACTGGGACCTCCCCTGGAACCCCCTTATGGGGCCACGAAATTTCAGAAACGGTGTACCGGGTGGGTGAAACCCAGGGAGCAAACGCCGTGTTGGGTGGTGGCGGACTCATGCGGGCGGTGCCACTGAAACTTTCGGTGGAGCCCCCTATGGGGCCACGAAACGCTGCACTGGGTGGGTGAAACGCAGGGAACAAGGGCTGTCCTGGGTGGTGGCGGACGCATGCGGGCGGTGCCATTGGGACATTCGGTGAAGCCTCCTGTATGGGGCCACGAAGCACTGTACTGGGCGGGCGAAACGCAGGGAGCAAACGCCGTGTTGGGTGGTGGCGGACGCATGCGGGCGGTGCCACTGGGACCATCCGTGGAGTTCCCTATGGGGCCATGAAACGCTGTACTGGGTCGGTGAAACGCAGGGAGCAAGGGCTGTGCTGGGTGGTGGCGGACGCATGCGGGCGGTCCCACTGGGGGCTTCGGCGGAGCCCCCTTATGGGGCCACGAAGCGCTGTGCTGGGTGGGTGAAACGCATGGAAGAAGGAGAAGGGAGAGGAGGAGGGGGAGGAAGATGAGGAGGAGAGGAGGAACGCGGGGACCGTTTCTTCAAAACGAGGACCCAAAACCACAGGATGGTTGGGAAAATAAAAAACGAGTGGAACCGTATACCCGATTCCCCTGCGATATTTTACGAGGTGGATTGCTTTGTGATGGCCCTGGGGCCCGAAAACTGTCGAAACCGCCGAGTGTGAAAAGATTGCACCGCCCAGTTTTCAGCCTCTTCCATCACTCTGAACAACTCTCCCGATGGGCGTTCGCATGGCAGGCCCAAGCTTCGCGCCGAAAATGACACATGGTGGACAGCTGACAGCTGGCCAGCTGCCCCGTGCTCGAAAGCCCTCGCCGCAGACCTGCTCCGCCTGTTCAGTAGCGGCCAAATCTGCCCTGGCTGACACCCTCGCGATGGGCGGTCCGAATCACGAACACATAATACACAGAGACTCCAAATTGGTTTTTTTTCCCGACGGAGCTTGCCCACCCGCCCCCTCCGCCCTCCTTTCCTCCCCCGTCCCTCCCCCATCTTCCTCGCCCCCCCCCCCCTTTTTCCCATTCCTCCCCCCTCCTCCTCCTCCTCCTCCTCCTCCTCCTCCTCCTCCTCCTCCTCCACCCTTTCCCCTTTTTCCTCCTCCTCCTCCACCTCATCCTTCTCCTCCTCCAAGCACCCCGTCCACCCATTCCGACAACGCGCGCCCGCTCACCCCCACCCGCGGATGCAAGGAGGGGGCGGCATGGATAAATCTGCATAAAAACAGACATATGAGTGCATGCATGCAGCCATGCATGCATATATGCATGTCTGGATGTGTGTGTGTGCGCGCATGCACGTTTGTATGTAGACATGTATATAGATGTGTAAGCTTGTATGGATGTGTAAATATAGGTGGTTGCTCGTATGTGCGGGTGGATGTACATGCGTACGTGCGTATGTGTATGTAAACATGTGTGTAATCATGTGTGTATGCATATATGTGTGTATGTACGCATGCACGCATGAACGCACCCATGTTATAATATATGCGTGTTCGTATTTACGTATGTATGGACGAAAGAACGCGTTCTGTGGTCGCTTGGAGGGGGGGGAACTGGACCCCCCCTTGTCCCCTACGTTTCCTATCTCCTTTTCCTCTGGCCAACGCCTGCGTCGGCGGCGGCTGGCGGCGGCGGCGGGGGCGACGACTTCCTTTTCTGGGCTGGCGCTGGCGCCTGCGGCGGCGGGCGGCGGCGGCGGGGAGCGTCGAGGAGGACAACGGCGACGACGATGACGACGACGACGACGACGACGACGCTCCGCCAAGGGTCCTAATGGATGCCTCCGGTGGTCTCGTCGGAGGGCTCTCGGGGGCCTCTGAAGGGCATTTGTGAAGCCTCCTGGGCGCCTCTTGGGCATCTCTTGCGGCCTCTCTGAGGTGGTTGTGGTGGTGGTGGTGGTGGTGGTGGCGGTCG